AAAAAAAAAAAAAAGAATCAACACACGCCACGCGTTCACACGCAGTTACACGCAAGCAATCTATCGTAAATCACTCTTCATTTATACACTAGACGCTCGATAGTCGTGCTTCTTTTTTTCGCCACGTCAATCAGCAACATTTAAATATCGGTTTTCTTTTCGTAATAATTAATCGTAATAATGATAATCATAATCATAATATTTAATTAATAATGGTATAATAAACTATCTATCTACGCGTGTAAGGTGTATCTTTTTTTTTTCTTCTTGTCCACGTTTTATGGAGTGTGTAATCCCTTAGAGTCTACTTTCTTTCGTATTTATATATGTATATGTATACATATAAGTATGTATAAATGTATTTACATACACGTAGCGGGAGAACGAATAATAGCTTTGTCTGCAGCAATAATACACAGAGTATGCATATTTTGTTTTTTTGTTTTTTCTTTTTCTCTATAACTTTATACATCGTCGTTTATCATCAATTATCATTATCATTATCTTGTGTGAATAATAAGGGTACTTTTTTATTTTTTTATTTTTTCTTGTTATAATTTCCGTTAATATTAACGTTACTTATTCGACACTAAGATATTTAAAAATTTATTCGTTAAATATTATTTTAATCAAAGTCGTTGTATGCTAGACGAATGTTGAGATCAAAGAAATTGCGGATTCCAGGATTCCAGTGATTTGCTTTCATTTCTTTTTCCCTTGTTTCTTCGCTTCTGTTGCTTACACGTCGGTTTCGAGATTACCAGCAGTGGAGAATATCTGACGATCGATAAGCGCACCAACAGCGCGAGACGTTAAATTACATGCATCTGTCCTCGAAAGCTACTGTCTTCCTCTTTTTTTTTTTTCTTCCTTTTTTAACTTTTCTTTGTTTTTGTTCTTTTTCTTTCGTCTCCCTCTCTCTTTTTTTGGTGAACGGAACCGTGAACGCACAACTATTGCCCTGTTTGCAAGCGTGTGAGAAACATCATCGTGGAATACAATGAACGAAGACGGTAATGGCTTTCAAGGATTCAGACATTGCGCGACATATCGTGAATAGCAGCGGTTTGTTCTATACGAGAAAAGTTGAATGATAGGAACTCGGCCTCTCATCTGTGAATTCTGCATGACTAATCTGTATTTCTTCCCTTTCTTCTTTTCTTTTTTTGTCCCTTTTTTTTTTTTCTTTTCTTGCCTACTTATACGATACACAACGTGTAAACACGTGAGAATGTCCACGTCGTTCAACATTGGCACTTCGAAAATCGTTTACAGCTTTGTATTACTTTGCATTAAATAATGTTACCATTAGTTTATCGATATTAGTTATAATACAATTAGAATATCGCTGCTCTATCGCTGATAGACGGTTTTGCGTGATTCGACAAAAATAACAAATTTTTTTTTTTTTACTTCTCTTTTTCGTTCTTTTTTTTTTTCTCCTTCCTTTTGTTTTTCATCTTACTTAATTTCTACTGGGTCATCCACTGGGTCACATAACGTTAAATCCGATTTATAAAAAACAATAAATTCAATCGAATCTCGTATCCCCGCGAAGATAGTATCGAAAGATTCGTGTTTCTCAGCCATATTTTTCTCTTGTTATTTTTGTTCTGATGCCTTACTTTAAACGACGATGGTCACATACAAACCTTCGAAACGAAACTTTGCCTCGTACAGCCGATATATTTTTCGAAGAAGAAAGACAAACTGATAAACGTATGTACCCGAGGAAGCCGAACTGCGATTTATCACGTGTAACGTGCGTTAACGCGCGAAGATCAAATCACCTGAAGTCCATAAAACAGATCGACGCAAAACAGCTTAGGCAGTGTTTTTTCCTCTGGTGTTCATGTGCTACGCGAGACACAAGAACGATAG